TATCGGTTCGATAACTGACCTTGTCCATTAATATTGTCTCACGTAATTAGTAATTACTGGATCGCGGTTTTTCTGAACTTATGGCAAAATTGCGTTGCTGCAATTTGAAGTACCAGAGAAATCAGAAGAAACTGGAAAATATCAATGTATTATTTTGAATCTATTGAAATGATTAAAGAACTGATGCTTTTATTTTCCATAAAAGTCCGCAGTCTAGTGATTACGTTATGTGGCGCGATTGTGTTCCTTCTTGGTTCGCCTTTTGTTAATCGATACTCGTGTCCGTCAGCTTTCTCGTTTAATATGTACGGACGTTTTAACGCGATTATTCTGTAGAATAAACGATTATATCGTTTACGAACAACCGCGTCAATATGCCTTAATACGCTCAAAATGTTGAGATTGGAATTCTTTGACAATTTCATCCGTTTAGAATTATTGCATTATTCTCTAATCCTCGACGCCAGATACACTATTATTTCCATTCCATTTTTAACCAAACCTGTGAATTATTGTATCCGCGTAATTCCGAGCGGATTCGATGCTTCCCTCGAGCCGTTTCGATTACCGTGGAATTTTACTGTAACGCCACGAGTTGTGTAGGCACTGCGAATCCGGTTTGTGTCGCGTCGACATCTCCTAAAATATTATCTACCGTATTTATGGATCCGATTCCGCCATTATTTCGGACGCAATGCGTCACCGGCCCGTGCAAATTATCATCGCGACACGGCGATTTAACGCACATACGTAAGTTAGCGATAGCGGGGTAATAAATTTGCGGCTTATCGACGTGTCGCGGGCTCGTAAACTGGTCTGTTTCCGTTCCTGCCTTGAATTCGATAAGAGCGCGTGTCTTCGTGGAAACATCTCGAAGATGGTAACAACAGTCGGCGTTGTTGAATTTGGCCTCGCAGCTCGCTAGTTAGTCGTCAGCGAACGTGGACAACCTCGCGCTGTGACTAAGAACAGTGTTCCCCTCGAGATAACAATTTCATTAATGAAAGAACCTACAGTTAATTGAAGAACAATTATTATTTGCCGACTAACAACAAGTGATCCGACGATTTCGGGAAACTTATCTCGCGATTGTGCCGTACGAACGAGTGGGAATTAGAATCGAAAAAGTAGCAGAAGTGGCCGAGACGCGTTGGTTTCAAACATTTTCGCTTTCCGATCGCTTAAATGCTCTTTATTGCATCGGAGGATTTAGCAGACATACTTTAGCACACCGATAAACACATTAGCAACGCGGTTTTCGTATGGTTTCGTCTGGACTGCGAGCATTGGCGTCTTCCCAAGCCAGTCTTTCGATGAAAAAAAAAGAACCACTGTCAACGTTCCAGACCACAGATTGTTATTATTAGGACAACGCGTGTCAGATTATTTTCAACGCTTCGCGAAGAAACGAGTGATGGAATAAATAAACGTGTAAGTGGCCTTTGACGACTCGAAACCTTCGATTTTCACGAATCCGTTAAAAAACAACTTCGATACGGCGGTTGGTCGAGTGTAGATACGTAAGCGAAGTTCTTATCGCTCGACGATCAGTATTAACAAATTCAGCGACTATCTATTTTGCATAAATGATGCGACTACATTAATAGAGTCGTTACCATCGCCGCGGCTGTGTACACACTTCCTCGCATAATCCTCGCGTCTTCGGCAAACGAAACGATCGAGGATAGTGCGAAACCTGTTCAAACCTCTCGATCACATTCAAACACGTGCTGGATTCGCAACGCTCGCAAAATAGATGCAAGAATTACGAGATTCTCTCAAGAAGCAGTTCATCCACTTAGACAAAATTTTGCGGCAAGAACGGGAAAAGATTAAATCGAAATAAATAAAATATTTCAAATATAAGTCGGAGTATTTAAAATGTATTTAAATATAAACCAGAGTGTCTGAAATGTATTTAAATATGAGCCAGAGTATTTAAAATGTATTTAAATATAAGCCAGAGTATCTGAAATGTATTTAAATATAAATAAGAGTATCTAAAATGTATTTAAATATAAATTTTATATACTTTTACTTTTAAATATATTTCAGATACTTTGATTTATATTTAAATATATTTTAGATACTATGGCTTATATTTGAAATATTTTATTTAGTTCAATTTAGCTAAATGACTTCTCAGTTCCCGAGTTCCTCAGTTCTTCCGTTCGTCTGAAAAATCCTCGGCTGAACGGATCATAGATTTAATAAATATATTAAATAACACGCGCGGCAAGTGAATGTGTTAATTAAAGTGAATGACGTGTTTGCTCAGTCCGTGCTGGCAGGAGTCAGACGCGACAACTTAAGGGCTCGGCGACTGTGGGAAAGCGGGACAAAGGTAGCATTCAGGGCAATTCAAACATTGAAATGATTCAAGCAAGCCTCTAGCTCGGGGCTGCTCTCCCGTCTGCTCGAACAGTCTCGTCTCCAGCTCGAAACCGTTCGAACTGCTCGCAGATTTCGAAGCTAAAACGCTCGAAGACCCGTCGCCGGTCGCGTGCTGGCTTGCGGGGAATACGAAACGCCGATCGACGGGATCGTAAACGTATTTTACGACCGAATTGGTTCGGAGATTATCGGAGGGGAGCGGCCCTAAAAACAGAAGCCGCTTCGCAATCCGGATCGTATATTTTACGTGGGCCGCGCTGTGGGAACGGTCGGTCGCTGACAAAATCGCACAACTTTTCATAGAATCTAGATAGAACGACGAGGCTTTCTTCGCCTTGAACCTCGAGATCTTGCGGAATACGAGAAAGATCAAAGGAAAAGGTGGAAACTGTATCTTGACCGTGAAAACGTTGATTGAAGTCGACTCTGAACATCGATGTTTCTGACGTATCGTTCACCACGTTTAAAGATCAGACGTTCCGATTGATTTATTAATTCTTTGTCGTTTTTTTTCTGGACGATCAAATTATATGATCTATCCCCTGGCAACCTGTGACCTCGCACGAACTAATTATGCATTTATGTACATTCGAATGGGTATAATCCGCGTATTAAACATTAAACATTGGATACTCGACACTGATCATTAAATACTAAATATTAAACATTCAACATTGAACAACGAACATTGGACATGAAACATTAAACACTTCGTGTAAATGAGTGAAATTTTTCCCCGAATATGTTGTTCGTCGTTGTTTAAAAGCATTTTCCTCTTATTCGGCAATGCACCGTCTTTAATTTCAAAATGATTTCATCGCACCACTATAATCCTGTCCGAAGTTCTACGGTTTTATTACAGAAACGAGCGAACGTTGCCATTGCGCGGCACCGAGTCGCCGTCGTGAAATGCCCGAAAAAAATTCAGTTCCACGTAATTGCGTCACGTCAGCGCAGAAATAAACTGCAACCCGTTACCCGGCTGTTATTGCAGAACGTTAGGAAGAAATTTGAAAAATACAAGTTCTTTTTCCCGGACGAGTTTATGCCCTTTTTTTACGGACATCCTGGTGCCGTTCCGAAACGAAGGGACTTTTTTACGCGCCCCCGTGGAACATTACGCCGGCAGTGCGGAACTTGCGAAAATTATTCACGCTCCGCTAATTGTCGGTTTCACCCGTTTTTCGGTACTTATGCAGTTTTCAACGTTCCCGGCTTTTACCGTGGATCATTTTGCGTATGACGCTACCGCGCACTCGGTTATTTTAACGTTCCCGGTGAAATGCACTCCTCTCGTGCACAGTGCCCGGGGTATTCTGTTCCAAAAGTAGGACGCTCCCGTTTTTTATTTTGCTTCTTGAATAGCAATATTGTCTCCGATGGAAACATGTAATTACACGCGTGTTATCTGCTCTCTATTGTTTTAGTGCGCGCAGAGAAATGCTAGAAATGTCGCTGCTCTAATTCAATAATGAGCAATTTTTAAAAAAAAGCGTGATTTTGAGATACTCTACTATTTTATGTCAAATAGTATTGCGTGGATAATACAATACCGACATATCTTTAAATGTGTAAAACGAAAGATTTATATAGATTTTTATAAATTATATTTTTTTATATTTATTTTATTTTTTTTCAATATAGTATTAGTACAGTATTTAGTGAAAATAACAGTTCATTATTTTCGAGAACCAAATTATTATCGAGAAAATAATACTTTGAACGCACTTTCCTTAAAAAACTTCATTATTTAGACATATCTCAGTATTGAATTAGAGTAACGCATAATCACAAGAACTAGAGTGATTGTTAGTTTGCAGATCTCCGATACAGAAAGAAAATTCTTGTAATCCACTCATTGTTTTAAATTTTGTGTACTCATTTTTGTCGCAAACGCATAAAATCCGCAATCTGGTGATTACGAAATCAGTACAAAATTCTACGAAATCTTTATCACCGTGATTCGCGTTATCAGTAATTTTTTTTTATATTCGTCACTCAGATACGAATTATCAATAACACTGTATCGCTAAAGACTAGCATTTTTATTCGAATTACCGATACCTTGACCTTCGAAATGCATCTCAGTAACAGATAAAACTTTTGCTTATTTTACTCGATATTTCACAAACTTGGTAACTAAAAATAACAGGAAACGAGATCACGAGATCCAGTATTTTATCGTTTGCTACGTTAAAGATAAACTGCATCAGAGATGACCCTACAGTGTTTTCACTCATTTGATCTTTCCACACTTTCGTTCAACCAATTGCCTTTTTATTTAATAATCGTTGAAGAAAAGCAGATATGTAATAAATATAAATTGTCATGTAAGAAAGGCACGATTTAGGAGTTAGAATTATATCCAAAAACGCGGAAAATAATTCCTCTAAGTCCTTTCTCGTTAAAAAAAGAGGAACGGTCGTTGCAATTTCTGCAACTTTCGAATCCGAGGGTTGTTCGTGTTTAAAACCGAAAACAAGTGAACTTTCATAATTAGATCGTGCCGAGGATCAAACGAAACATTCCCAGCGGCTCATTGATTCGGCACGAAAATTGTTTTCACCGGTTCGTTCGCTAACCAGTTTTGTTTCTCGATTTTCCAGCCACGTCGGCGGTGATCCTAAAGACAGAACACGAGCACCACCAGCTGTCATCTCTGTCCGAAGACAATATCCTCGGCTCGGGGGTTAGAATCGGGCGAGGCGAGGACGCAGCCGCAACCGGCACCAGGGAGATTATGGATTCGTCGCAATCAGCCATGATGAAGCAATCGGACTACGTCGTAGGTCAGTGAACCTAGCTCTCTGAAAATTTTGTTGTACACCGAATCGCCGGCCGAATCGTTGTTCTCGCTGTTTTCGCCGAACCTTCGAACATTTCCCATAGTTTCTGTCCACTATAAGAAAGGAGTGTTTCCCTCTGTGCGCCGAGATTTCCTCGAATTTGTGTGTTATCGTCGGAGACACCGTGTTGTCGTTTCGTGCATCTGTCCGTCGACATCATCTCGCCCGAAGTGTCGCAAAACAATACCACGGGACCGAATATCTATCGAGTATTTCACAAAAAGTTCACGTATTCGGGAAATCATTGAAATGGAGAAATTGCAGGTGGTAAGGGATCGTCATTGTTGTCGGTTAACACGCGGCTACCGTATCGCAGTTGGAATCGTTTGTTTATATAGATTGGACAATCTTTGCGGTTGCACAGTAAACGGCAGTCGTAAACGTAATTTTCAGGAACTTTTTCTGACGAGAATCAATGATTTCCTTTTAAAGAAAAACCTTGCTTTAATGTACGTACAGTATACAAACGTATAATAAATGTTTATATACAAAAGGATTATATTGAGAAAAACCTGTTCAGATAGAGTCACCTACACGAACAGAATCTTAAATAATTTTTTGAAAATTTGACGTTGTGGCACTTTTTCAGATTTTCGAACAAAAATATAAACACAGATTGTATAATTTATGTATTTATAAACGAGATGTTTAATTATAGAAAAGAGTCTGCCAATTATTCGAGAAAAAAGGCCTGATGATCGCTAACGATGACACCTTGCCTCTAAGTAATTATTACGTCACGTGTGGATGACACGACAGTATCGACGATCTCTTGAGATACAAGAGTAGAGGATCAAGGCATAATGATTCGCGTATGTTCTCGAGAAGGTAAACAGCAAAAACTGCTTGCGAGCAATGGTCAGGTTTCGTCGGTCACCTCGTTGCCGTCGTGATAAGATAACACACGTGCGATTCTCCAACTTCCAAGCGTCAAAGATTCTCAGCCAGCATAATGATTATGTAATTGTGAATGATGCGGAACGTAACGATTGCAGTTATCGTTCTTATGTAATGTAATTGCACTTATTATTTCTATTAACGTAGTTTGCGTATTGATTGATAGTTACTCTCGAACCTCAGTCACTAATTTAACTTCATCTCCGCATTGTTTTTTTTTTGCGAATCTTATTCTAATTAGAAAATATAGATTAGCGTAAAACATGAATTTTTATATCTGAGTGAATAATTCCGTCGCGCGCGTATAGGTGACAGGACGGACAAAGTGTTAAATTAATGACAGCGATAGCAATTCGCTGATAAAACGTTGACATTGACAGTTTTTCTTGAAACTTCATTGACTGATTTGCACACCGCTTAAGCGCGTTTTACATAGTTTTACATGGAAATTTATTTGCTTGCGATTTTCGAAAAGAAAAATCTGCCAATTTAAATATCGATGACGTGCTGGCAATGCTTTGGAGTTCGTTGCACAATCATCTGCAATTATTCTCGCTTGACTGGCTGCTCGAATAGAACGAAAAAAGTTAGGAATCGTCGTGATTACGATGTTGCACTTGCCTCTTGATATTACGGAAGAATCATCGATGTTATTACAGTCCATTCGCCTTGCTTTGTTGTATTTAATACAGCGGGCACCGAGATTGCACATATTAACGAGAGTTCGCGCAAACTTCCCGGTTTCTTATCGCTTATCACCCCCTCATTGTTTACGTTGTTGCATTGTTTGCTCCCCGGCCAATCGCACTTGAAGATCATTCGCATTGCACCTCATCACCGGGGGAAAAATTAAAGTGGCAGAGAAAGACGCGTCTCTTTCTCTGTCGCTTTAATCATTAGAACGTTCGCGTTTCTACAATTGAGGATCGTTATTGCATTCGCTCACTCGATTTCTCCGCGAATTGATCTGCAATTATTAATTTCATCCGGGATGGAGGTCGCTCTCAATTTACATTTATTAACATCCATGAAAGATACAAATAGGCCAAGTTCAAGCTCGACTGCATCGATTCTTACTCTGTCCTTGAAACAGATATTCCTCTTTATTCTCGCGTTTCTTTTCAACGGTCACATTGAAACGTATTTTAGGTCAGAATGTGCTCTGTGAATTACTATTTTTAGTAGCAAGCTCCGGGCTTCTGTTCTGGATGTGTATAACAGTTGATTCACTGAAGAAATCGTTGTCGCGAGCAGCGACTTGACAGTAAGGAAACGTAAATATTTTTCTGACAATTTTGGATAATATTTTCACGGGGAAAAGTGAATGGTCAATAGCTGCGATTCTCTGTCGGAAAAGTTATGGTTCGTCAAACTGCACTGTAGAACTGTACAACTTGTACTAAACCATCGGTGACCTATTTCATAGTCGTCGGTGTTCTCGAAGTTCAAACAGCTCCGTGACGGTGCAACAGTGACCGGTCTCTCTCAACAGAGAGAAACACGATTTCTCTCTATTAATTACAATTGATATACCCTCGATTGAGGGGAACTCGGCACGGAAATGATCGCGTTAACCGCAAACTTCGACCGATTAGTCAGCGTCCGTTCAAAGTACACTGTGCCACGCTCGAAGGCGTGCACCAAGATGGCCGTGCACTAACTAACATAAGTGAGGCCGCTGAAAAACTGCACGTGGTGCTAGATACTCACTAATCGTATCTCTCTGCTTTTAACCTTACAGATGTCGTACTGCCGACCGTCCTAATTGCACTGCTGTTCGTTGGCAACGCCATCATCGTCTATATCATCTTCCAGTACAGAAAAAGGTGGGCAAAGTTCTTGGTCTAATTGGACCAATTAAAACCAACTTCACGCATCCGACTCTATTTCTTACTCCTCGAAGAAATGAACATGCATTGTCGACTTCCTTTGACTCCCATACAATTCTGTTCGAATAATATTCAGTAATTGTTAAAACTTACAAAATATCGAGCAAGTAATAAATCAACGGTCGCAAGTTAATTGCGAAAGTCTGAATTCCAATAAAATTAAACACAACAGTCAACGTCAATTAGAAATTTGGGTATCGTTGTTTTAGAATCAATAATCTAACGAAATTAATTAGAAAATTCTGAATTGAGACGACGATTAATTGTAAAAATTGCTTCGCAGAACATTTTGTACGATTGATCTATGTTGGAGGGTGTTTGGGAACAAAAATGATTCACATACGAGAACTTATAGAATTCTAGAGTGCTAAAAATTTGTATAGAATTGAAATTGAACAGTTCCAGAAAATTTTGTAAAACGATGCTTAAAGACTTCGATTGACCGTGAACAATCGCTTTCCAGGAAAGTTCCACCGCTAGAGCAAGGGGAGGAGATGGCTCTGCAGAACTCGCCGGATGTGCCGCAGGTGTGATTCGTCGGATAATCGACAATTAAGTTCACGGTGCCAGCAGAAACGTCAGCGAGGAGGCCTACGTTGCATTTTTCTACGAGGATGATCTCCAAGAATCGATCTCGCGATGGACCTCGATCGTTCTCTTGCGACTCAAGTTCGTTTTAAGTGGCAGGAAAATGGCCGTCAAGGAGTCGGGGTTTTTCGAAATTCGTGTCTGTCGTCGTACTCAAAACGTTCTTCGTAGAAACAAGCATGCTCGTCGCGAACGAGAAGCAAATTATCGCGCGATTCTATTCGGAGCCACTTAACAAAGAAAGACTATACCGAATGCGCTCGTAAACGCAAAAATTCGCTGTCAATGTTAGAACTCAGGCGCCTATCTAGTGTTGCCACAATATGACGTATATACACGCACACGCACACATACACAACACATACAACACACACACACACAACACATCCATTTACGGTTATGTATTATAATATAAGGAAATAATATATTCTATATTTCGTCCAAAAATTGTGACTAAGTTAAGAATAAACTGATGTTTTCTTAATTCATTTCATTCATTTATTGTCTTTCTCTCATTGATCCTCTCATCTCCCTTCCTCTCATTGAAATAGAAGAGTGTGTGCGATCAAGTAAAAATTAATTCGTTTTATTCAATTATTCTGCACCAATTTCTTCGACATCCTCTCGCGTAAATTACCATAAGTGCTATGACTGGTTTAGAAGTACTTCTGCAACGGTTCCCCTAAGATGTCCTCCAATGTGCGTACAGCATTTTGTGCACACTTCTCCGTAGCTTCGTCTTCGTCCTCCAACAACTCCGCCAGGAAAGGTATAGTCTCCGGCAACAGCGGCATAAAGTCCTCCCCTAGTTTCCTTACGATCTCCACCTGAGTTAACACAGTTTACGATTCAATTCAGTTAACACACAGTTCTCCCGCGCATTAACATTTTACTATCCAATTAAAATAATCAAGGTCCTAAAAGCTTATCTTCTCGCCTGTCTTCGTGCCTCGTACAGTAAAATAAATTTATCGCGGTGTTCATGCAAGTGCGAATTAATAGAAAACTGTCCAATAGACGGAGATCCAGATTTTATAATTGTTCAACAAATGTCTCCTGCAACGATCGATTACTTTGAAATTCTTCCATCCAAAACTTTCAGCGTATAATTTTATAGAAATGCAAATTCATGCAAAATTATTTGCCGGCCAAAAATCCAGATTATACGATATTCCAGTAACAATTTCCTGTAGGGTTCGATAACTTTGACATTCTCCTACCCGAGAAACTACCAGCGCATAGCTTTAAGAAAACGCAAATTTGTCCGATAAATAGAAATTCGGGTTTTATGATTTTTCAACAAGATAAATTCCAAGCCCAAGTTGTACCAATTCATAATTTAGAATTCAGTTTTCGGGACTGAATAGCAGCTGCGAAAGGTAAGTACGACTAAAGTTTGACTCACCAAGGCGTTCAATGCGGCGCTTCTGACGTAGGGTTTCGCGTGTCGAGTTTTCAGCAACGTTTGGTAGACCAGATGCTTGTACAAGGTGTCATCGGCGATAGCATTAGCAAACGCTGCAATGCAGGGAACCACCAATTCGCTGGCCCTCTTCTCGTATTCCTCTCTGCCTCCCATGGTGTTCTCCAGCTGGTCCACGATAGGTTGCGCCAACGTCTCCACCCTTTCCTGGTTCAAAAAATTCTGGGCGTCGTAGCTGAAGACCCGGTAGAGCGTCAACAAAATCGCCTCGACCAACTCGATTTTGTTGGTTTCTTCCGGTAATGTCATCTCTAGGGGCTCCTCTGTGATGGCTGGATTGTTGCTCTTGAGCAACACTGCTGCGTGCTTGAGGAAGTGGCCGGCGAACAGCACGAACAGCGATTTTAGGCACTCTGCTATGTTTGCTGAGAGTCTGCGAACGAATAGTATAGAACGTTACGAATGATTGATGAAAAATTGAATCTAAAAATTAGAAGATGATCGCGATTCTATCTAAATTCAACCGTATTTCCTACTGGAAAAAAATTATTTGCAAAGTTTAAAAAAATCATTTAAAGATATACTGCCTATTAAGATGGCCAAGCTAGCTGCGACACCTTGACCATGCAGCTGCCCTTGGCTATCTCAGTGACATGCTAAGCATTTGAAAAGCGGTATGAAGTTACGGTAAACGATACGGCGAACAAACCTGTAGAATGTGATGCTCCGCTGCTTATGTTGCGGATTCCTGGCGGCCCAGTCGTACAGCTTGTAATATAGAGGTCTGAACATGGCCTCGCTCAGTTTCAAGACCAAGGCGACCAATGCCTTGCTGGCGCTTTCCTCGACCACCACAACATCCTCCAACGTGAGTTGATCATCCGTTTCCATGCTCTCTGTAGTGCTAGGCAAATCCTCTCGTAGCTGTAGGACTTTCAAGAAGAAGGTGCCTAGGTCTGGAATGGCTGCACTCAGTTCATTTGGCTGAACATTGTTAAAGGACTCTGCTAGGACAGTCATAAGTGCAGGTACACACTCGTAAGATCTTTTACCGAGCAATGTATCGTACGTTCTGTTCACTGCTGGTAGCAGCACTCTTAGCGGTATGCAACTGGATAGTTTCTGAGTGGTTGCTCTCAACCTTGAAACCACCACGCCGATCTTTGGATGTTCAGTATCGGTGTACAATGAGTTCAATCTTGCTAATTCGAATAGTAATTGGTCCAGGTAGAGGGACAGGAAATTGCCGACGGATTCGACAATCTTCTGCAACGCGCTCACTATGCTGACCAGTATCACGTCGGGCACATCTTGATGGCAGTGATTCTCTAACAGCTGCAAGATAGCTGGGACGAACTTGTTTAAGCTATGAATGGCATGAATTCGCATCGAACTGCACAGTTCGGCGACGCAGAGCGCCGCACTGCCCAGCACTGGACCCTCTTTCGTCTTCAGGAGCTCGGTAGTCGTCTCGAGGATCGGCTTGAACACCGCAGCATTATCTGAAGCTAGCAACTTGGCCAGCAGTTTCAGCGTTATCAGAACAGTTTGTTGGACGATCTCCTGTTCCTGGGTCTCGGACTTCGCTTTGGTCCGAATGATCGTCAAAAGCGGTTCGGTTAGGCACATCAGATCGTTATAGCTCTCTTCGCCGAACTTGCGTTGTTGCAGACGGGCGTTCAGAAGCTCCAGAGCCTTCCTGTTCACCGTGAGCAACTCGTGTTCCATCAGACGCTTCACGCTGAACAAGAAGGTTTCGTTTGGTAGCAAATTGTTGACCAGATCCAGCACGTCGTACAAATGATGCAGAAGCACCTTCCAGTACTTCGCCATAGGCTTGCCCTGATGTTTGTCAGCGTTCTTCGAAGTGCTCTGAATTAACAGAATCAACTCCACCATCAGCTGATCGTAGTACACCTTCATGCTATCCGATTCGCTGGTATCCAGCTCTGCGATCCGGTTGATGAAGTCAGTGGACGATAACAAGTTGCTCAGAAACTGTACCAGGGTATATTTATAATGCCTCAGATTTTTCGGGGTGGTGTTCGCCACGTCGAAGACGTGCTTGTACGTGAAAGACAAGGCTGCCTTCCGATGCTCTTCCCCGTCTATATCGATCGGTAGTTCCTTCATGAACTGTGCAAGTTTTATGCAGACCCGGATGAGCCTGGCAGGTGGGAACTCCTGGGACACCTGCAGGGCGAACTCGAGCCTTTGGCTGGCTGTCTTCTGATTGGTAATGCGCATTGTCCTAGCGATAACGTGGCTCTCGAAGGTGAGTAGGTAATACAGATGCAAGTGATTGTCCAGCAGCTGTAACAGCTTCACGAACAAAGGCGTCCTCCTGTGCTCAGGAATGTCCGGCAGGGACACGATGAACGTCCTCAGAACCTCGCAGGCGTGTTTCTCGTTTTCCGCCGCGTTTATTATGGGTAACACGGTTTCGATGGTCTTGGAGATGATCTGTATCGAGTAGGCATCGTCCTGTCGAACCACGGAGCTGCCCATGAAGGTAAATATGGGCATGATAGTGTACAGAGCGCATCGAACGTCGACGATCTTCAGCAACTCTACCAGAACCAACAGAGCGTGATGATGGGTCTGAGGATTCCTCGATGTCCTGATACACTGGGTGATTAGATCAATCTGAAGATGAGCGTCTCTCATGGGCAGTTTTTTCACAGCCAACCTGTGAATCGTGGACAACAAGAGTTGATTGGTGTACTCTATGGGACCTTGCTCCTCGAAGCTAAGACACGTCCGTAGTAAATCAAAGAGAATCGGATACAGCAGTTCTTCTTGCTCGATGTTGTCCGCCCTCTGCACGAACTCCAACAACGTGACTCCATGCTTCCATTCCTTCTTGTTTATTATGGTTGGATTGGGTATATTATGCACATAACTCAACCGTTTTCTCCGCTTTGCTTTAGGGTCGGTTATCTGCTCGTTCTTGAGGTTCTTCATCTTCTGCAGCTCCTTGACTATCAGCCGCGCGTTCACCTGTATCCTCCTGATTGCTCTATTAGCTATAGAGATGATGTTGCTCATGTCGCAGTCGGAGAGCACATCTACCAGCTTCGTCAGCATCATGCTCTGAAGGTCGGACGACACTTTGCCGACGCTTTCAAAGAAGGGTTTCTGTATCTGCTTCAAGAGGATGACGCTCAATGAATATTGCACTCCACTCTCTGCGAACACTTCGATCTTGTGCTCCGTTACGCATGCCTCGAATAGTTGCCAGACATGCCTTACAGTCAGAGCCTTTGCTGTTGCGCTGTTGAATCTCTGCAGGATGTTCTTCAGTGCGTTCCCGGCAAATTTGTTCTTTGATTCTGTGGTTAAGGTCTCTAGGAGCTGGAGTCCTAGGGGTGCCAGTTGCTCAAGGATCGTTGGACCATTCACATGGACTAAAATGTCCAGCAGTTGTGACGTAACATGAATCGGGGTTTCGGGGTCCATGATTACGTGGAATAGTAATTGTTGTGCTTGTTGAAGCTTTTTCCTTAAGTCGGATTTCAACTGTGCGCACACGTCTGGATCTGGGGAAAGAAGGACGTACAGAGATAGGGACAATTGGTCAGGATCGAGAGATATCTCCGGACTACGTTTGTTCAGTTCTTGAAGTAACGCTGAGAATGGTTCCACCGAAAAGTTAAAGGTCTGCATAAGCTTCTTCAGGACGTCTATCGCAGCTCCTCGGCAATCGTTGTTCTCCCTGGCGAGCGAGAGCAGTAAGTTAATCACGAAAACCTTGTCCTGAAACACCCATTGCATCGACTTGCACTGGTCCAAAAGCACCAAAGATATCTTCAGACAGTGATACGATGTCTGCACCTTGACTGGTTTTATGTACAGCTGAGACAAGAAGCAGAGCAGGTCTTTCACTGTGGCGAAGTGTCTTTGAAAAAATATCTGCAAGCACCTATAGTAGTGCTTGCACCAGCGTCTGTTATTTATCCCGTCAAAGAACATCTCCAGAAGTCTTAGAATCAAGTTGCTCCGGTGTGGATTATTCTCAAAATCGAATTTGGAATTCAGCTTCAGGTCCAGTCGTCTGTGGACCATTTCGAGAACATATGTGCCTACTTGAAGCGGTAAGACTCCTTGCGAGGTCAATTCGATGGCACACTGGATATTGTCTCCAGTTATATTGTTGCAGTTCTGGATCATCTTGACTTGAGGGAATTTTTTGATCATATCTGTGGCCATCTCGATGACTTCTGATGCGATTTCGTCCTGCAGAGAGCCAACAGGCACTCTGCACACGGAACCTAGGAGGATCATCTTAAAGAACATGGAGCCTGCGTCCCCATGGGCCATCTGTTGTTTCATGGCACTTAGTATGCTTTCAGCACAAGGCAACAGCTCCCAATTTAGTATATTGTGGAAAGCTGCTGATGATACTGCCTCTGCATTAGGTGATTCACCTAAGTCCTTTTGAACGCACTGCATGTAGGCATTCTTCTTACCGAAGTTTGATTGTAGTACTTCCATCGCGATTAATACATCTGTATCATCGTTCGGAAACAGATATGGCAAAGCGGTGATAAAGATGCTAGTGTCGTCTCCTACGTCACAGAGTTCTAGGAGGATTTTAAGCGCTGGCTTCGCTAATACTTTTCTATGATTGCTGTGACATGTTGAAAGCAATACCTTTATCTCGTCGACTAACATGTCTACGGGAATGAGGCTCGTTAAACGGCCGGTGGGTATGGATAGCAGAGCCTGAATCACGTTGACCTCGCTATCGTTGAACCTAGCTAACAGCGTGTTCGTCAGCATTTGCCGGACACTTTCTGGAAAGTTTATATTCTTCCTTGCTAGAGACTCCAGTGCCATGATCCTCTGCTCTGGGCTAATGTGGATTAGTCTGTCTAGTATTCCCATGGAATCCTGTGTATCTTTGGCTCCAAAGTGCCATGATGTGAGAAACTGCAATGCTAGCTTGGAGTCTTTGTCGTTGTCGCTGCGTTTCATAAGACGCTTTAAGTAATCGTCGAATCTTTCTGGATAGGTCTTCTCCAGACATTGACACAGTCTCATTAAGAAATTCTTGGCTGCACTTGACGCGCTGTCTGTCAGAAATTCTTTTTCCAAAACGTTTGATAATATGCTGTCCACGCCGTTGTTGTCTAGTTTCACTCGTATCAGAATATCACTCACCATGCTCTGAACTTTCGACGTTGCTGATGGATTTTCCATGATCACACTACAACCAGTTTGCACTAGAGGTACGATGAACTTCAGTGCATTTGTATTGGACGACTGAAGCTTTATCGCCAGTGGAATAAACCAAGACAATTCTGATAATCTAATAGCAAGGCTCTTCGGCACCGTAGTCAGTGAATGAACAGATGTATTGTACATAAAAAATAACAAGATCAATGCTTCTTCCCTCAAATGCGTTTTCTTGAATATTTTCAAAAGCAACTTTTCGGTAGTCTCATTGTTTAATCTCATTTTGCTCATTAACATGGATAAGATCATGTAAGTGCTAGCTGCAAAATCACCTATAGGAGTTTCTAAGCCCTTTAAAATGGTCGGTAATATGTGACCCATCTGAATTTCTGATATTGTAGACAATTTATTGATAATTCCCAAAATGGAGGTAGTGTAAAATGCGTATAGAGTGCTTAGACAAGTCGCTTTTTCTGAGTACACTCTTGTGGCATTGACAACATGACTACAAATAAGCTTTAAAAGACCATTATCACTACCAAGACGATTGATTAATGTTACAGAAGCTAAAGGAACACCAGGCTCTTGAAGAGGTTTCAACCAATGCCACTTATCAGCTTCATCTGACAAATTTAACAACTGTAATGCCCTCACAAACATTCGAGTTTCGTGATAAGGTAATATTAATAAAAGAAATTGATCCCTATTGAATTCATGTATACGAAATCTGTATATCAACCATTCGAGTGCTTTATGAGCATTGTTGAGTAAAAAATATGGGGATGAGAGAATGAGAAACCTTTCAATTTCTCCATTCAGCTTCTTGTTGACTTTAGAATCTTGCACAGAACGTTCAAGGCTAATAGAACTTTGTGCGAAGAGTGTCTTCTCAAATTCCAAAAACAAATCTGATAGCTTCGCTAATTCTTGAAGTCCATTTTGACCTACACAAATATTATTAAATCATTACTTACAATAGAAAAGGAATTACTATATTAAATTATACACAAATAAATTAAAATCCTCACCAATGTTTAAGACTGTTTCTCTGTCTAAATTGGCAGCCTCCTTAGGATCGAAGAGCAAGCTAGGACGCTTTGTATCCTGCAGCAGTATATTAGTCTGAGGTGTTCTCAGTTTCTTCAACTGTTCCGCAAGAGATGTAGCCATTTTGAATCTTCAATAAAATATATAACAAAGTTAAAAAGGGTCCAGATAAAAATATGATAGAAAAAACTTGATATAATCTTACCTTTTGAACTAATCTAACTTGTAATGATAGACTCTCGTAACTGGTTATGTATATTTAACAATGCTGTCGACACTCATTAAATCTACACAAATAAAAATATTTCAAAAATAGGCTCACTATCTGTAATATATTAACTATTCACTATTGCAAAATTAACCATGTGTTGACCGCTTACACCATGTGACACCATGGAATGGCTGATACTGTGCATGCGCGGCCATAAACAATAAGTTTGTCACCAGATGTCGCCACATGCTAGATTCAATCTTATGTTTATATCCTCCGCGTCTGTACTGTGACAAAAATTATTCAGTAAAGTACTCTGTTACGTGCTCGAACAGTTAAAGTTTTATCTGAATTGTTTAAAGAAATGGCAGATACACTAGAGAATATTAATCCTAAGTTATACAAAAAAATTGATGAAAGGATAGTTACTGCAAATGACGAAAATGAAAATATCGTTGATGAATTTGACACGCGTGAAATCTTCGGTTCGTACTTCGAAATTTCTATCGATACACGAGTAAAACAATGACAACTTATGTTTCTCTCGTTCAATTTTATTTTTAGATCTTATTAGAAACATCAACGATCCTGAACATCCTTTAACACTAGAAGAATTGAATGTAGTGGAGCAGAATCTAATTGAGGTAATAATGTGGTGAAACTTTCACCATTCCTATGTTTTCAAGAATGTACCATTACAGATTGATAATAGAGCAAGCAAGATTATTGTGAAATTTACACCAACAATACCACACTGCAGTATGGCAACACTTATTGGTTTATCAATCAGGGTTCAGCTACTAAGAACTCTGCCATCAAGGTTCAAAGTCAATGTTGAAATTACACCAGGTACTCATATGTCAGAAAGTGCAGTGAACAAACAACTCGCTGACAAGGAAAGAGTAGCAGCAGCTCTAGAAAATAATCACCTACTTGAGGTAATTAATCAGTGCGTTGGAATTAAATGTTGATTACTAAACTATACAATATACATTATGTGATCATATGAAATATTCTAATGCACAATAGTATACATAATATGTGAACATCTTAAATGTTACCAAATATTATATGGATTATTTTGTTATTTGTAACTATAGAATAAAGTAAAGGTGATTGTTTATCAATCATATATCCTTTGATTGAAGTTACTATCATTTATTCTAAGAGCAGGGAACAATTATAATAAATAGCTCATAAGGAATTAAATAATGCTAAGTATTTACAAGATTTATATATCTGGTATTATCTTTTCTTTGTTAAAATTTGTGCTGCTGTGGGTGGGTTTTTCGTTGGATCATATTTAAATGTTTTCTTTAAAGGACCTTTTCCTGCTTTATTAAACTGAACTGCATCTGCACGTTCTCTATCTTCTACTTTTTTTATTATTTTCCAATTAGTCCAAGCTGAAAAAAATATTCAAAATATAACTTATGAAGTTTTACATTAAGTTTATGATCATTATTGAAAATTACTCTCATCCAGTCCTTTTTTGAAGCCTTTCGGTTGCATTGGGAGATCCTCAAGTTTATGTACTATAATGGGTGGCATACCAAACCATGCTCTCACTGCTGATATTCTTAAGAAACAAATTTGCAAGAAAGTGATAACATTTGTTGAATACCAATAACACAGCATAGCCTGGAATAATAAATATATAGTGAAACTTTGAGACTAATAAATATTGTAATAATAAATAAATAGTGAAACGGTTAATACATCGAGAGTAAAACAAGTTCAAGCCAAGAATAATATCTTACCGCTGGGAAATGTAATATTATCGGAAATGTAATAATCGGTATCGCTCGCATAAAATATGGTAGTAAACCCATATTCGCCCCACTATTCACCGTAATACTGTATTTCATCGATACATACATTGTTAAACAAGTAACTAGAGGAAGAGTATACCATGGATCATAGACAGTTAAATCTGTAAACCACCATAATCCTCCTTCTTTCATGCTTTCAACTGGTGCTTCTGCCATTCGTCTCAAACCAATAATGAATGAAAGAAATACAGGAAACTGATAAACGTGTAGATTAGATGCTGTTCTTTAAAAATGAATGTTGTCTTACATACAATCAGAACTATACCTGTAACGCAACTAAACCCATATTTTTCAGTGGATTAATATCCTTGTCCTTCATAAACTTAGATAACTCGTGAGCACATACAGCAGCTGAAAATAACAGTATAATTGCTTATATTTAGTAACAAATTGGAGTATTGATTTCATACTTTCGTATTCATCTCCATTCTGTCTTGCTTTCATCATTTTTGATTGTAGCTTTTGCATTTGTGGCATATATTCGTTCATCTTTGAAGAATTTCTTTGTACTTTAATCACTAGTGGAAACAAAGCAAATCTAACACAGAGTGTTCCTACGCCAATTGCTGCCCACCATGGCAAGCCACAATAAGTATGCAATGCGTCTAAAGCATGTTGTACCCATCCAATTGGGAAATATCCACCCAGTCCGATACTTTCCAAAGTGGGTTCGCCATTTACTGTTAATGCAGTTATAGATTCTGGTATTTTTGGTAAATCTATAGATAGTAATAAAAGTAAAAATTAAAAATATGATCATGATTGCCTAATGTCATTAACATTGCTGCGACTACAGTATACTTACTGAAATAAACAGAAAATTTATTTTACCTGGTATTTCGCTTAATAAAGCATTTTGTGTAACTGTTGCTGCTACATTTTCTGCAACTTGTTTTGTAACTTGTTCTGCAGCTTGTTCTGAGATTGTTTCTGTGATTTGATTTTCTACTACTTCCTCAATTTGTGGTTCAGTCGATGCTATAAAAATACATTTCAACGTATATTACTTGCAAACGCAAACATAGGTATGCACATACATACCTCCAGGTATATTTGTTATATTTTCGGCCAGCATCGTCCCAGTCGTGCTTTGATATCGAACGGAAATAATTCCGACAAATTTAGAGTATGTGATAGCATCGAAGACACTACGATTCCTCAAAGAACTGTTTGTTATATTACAGGCAAGTCGACTGAACCTGGACTTTGTTATTTTCTAAATAAAAATATATTTCAAGTGATTAAGTTTCATTCGGAGCATTATGAAATACGAAAACGTAACCTTCAAATGCGATGATAGTTTGTGTTACCTGATAACTTGTACTTTTCATTAACATCAATCTTCGACTGGTGTTCGTCAATAATCGTGACATCTTTCCGTTTATATGCTTTACTTTTATTGTTTACTTTTATCTTCCCAAAAATAAGACGAAATGTGCAACGAATATTTTCGTTGCATACGTACTTCGGTTGCACGCAAGACTTTTCGATACATATATACGTATAGGCTGTTGGACAACAGGTAAACAAAAATTATGGATACATTCTTCGCGACAATGTAAGGCAATGATTTTTAATTTAAAAAATCATGATCGCGGCTTCGTTTTAAAGTAATTAGCGATTAAAATTGTTATTAAACCGCCAATAGTTGTGCACGTGAAATGCAATAAAGAGTAGACCCACGTGGTGCTATTGATGTAATTGTAATTCCCTTATTAACCATTTGCTAAAAAGCTGCAAATAAAATTATTGCTAGATTTGTTAGCTAAAATTGAGTATTTTGTATATAATAAATATAAGATATATGCATAATAAAATAGAAAAGAGAGAAAGAGGCGCATTTGACAGACACCTATATTGTTAAACGGGGTAAAAGTTCTGGCATTTTGTCATAGATGTCGCTAGTAGTAGTAGTTCTGTCGCACACACGATATACCTTGTTTGTGCTTCTGCCACAAACGAGATGTACTTTATTTATGCTTTTGTCTAGTAATTGACAAATCGCTACTTTGTAGCGATAAAAAACACCCTTCTTTTTAAATCATATGAAGCGAACAATTATTGTCGCCTTTTGCATTGCACTTGCATGAATTTACATCGACAAAGAACAAAATAAATTGGTAGTTGGTTTCGATTAATCTTTATAGGAAGAGATAAAATTTCTAATTTATACACTTTTCATCCTACAAGAATACAATTTACAGAACAATTAAATGTATGTATGCTTGATTGGTCGAAATTTTGTCATAGTACATTCGAAGAAATTAAATAATCGAACTATATAACAAAATTATCTAAAGTTTTAAATAAAGCTATTCCTGATAAAAAAGAAAAAACGCCGATGTTTCTTACCAAAATGATTTGAAATGTGTAGAAAATTAAGAAGTAATTCAGGATACCGACTGAATATGTGCAATGGAATCACTGCGGTTGCCTTAGACTGTCACAGATGATGCCGTAAGCTTGATTTTTAGGGGGCGGCTTATGGATCCTTTTGATCGATAAAATTTATTCGCTCAGATCGAACAACAAAGGAGCCTGGAGAGAATTATCTATGTATGTAACTTATTCTGACTAAACTTTCAATCAAAGGATAGTTCATGTTAAGTATGATAACCAAGTTAAATTCAACGATAAGCGTGTCCTTAAAGGATCCCATTCATTTCTAGACCAACAAACGAATGGTCAGATAGGGTTGGTTTTCGAAAACTGACTAAGTGTCGAATTTAAGGGCCCAGCTAGAGGGTCCGTTTTAAAAATGACGTTCCAGGTCTTCAAATCTAAAGTCTTCAATCACAATAGCACCGAGTCATTGCTACTCGCGATAAAAAAAATCCGAGCGAAAGTCCCGAATTCGTTTCGAACAATCTGGAAACAGCGGAGATCCTGAGAGTTCGGCGTCTCTGAAATATCTTCTCGAAAATCTCGTAAACTCGCACGGTCATAGACGTTGCAACTCCACTGGCGTCATCCGAATGGGTACCGGACGGTCCCCGTACCCTTTTCTTCCCCGAACCGATAGGTTTCCGTACGCCACTGGCGCTACACTGATAATGCCGACTCACGTGATCGAATCTACTGCAATGACAATCAGTTTGGGGCCCCGGGACGTGGGTTATTATGCGAGACCTACTATTAAAGTCCCTCTCGTGCCATCTCGCCGGTTTCGGGGGCCCGTCCATGGCCACGAAACTCCTTTCGGAGCACGCTGGCACCGACCTTAGGAGCGGCTCTGTTGATTTAAGGCGATAATACAGGGCTGCAAGAGATTTTACGTGAGGAAAAAGAAAGAAAAGGCGGAACGGGCACACAGGGGAGGAAGCGACGGAGAAGGAGGAGGACGAGGAGGAGGCGAACTGGCAGCCAGAAGACGGCGCGCTTATAATTACAGATTCGCATTGTCCGTGAAGGCCCCTAACCATCGCGCTTTGGTACCGGCTGTCAGTCTCTCCTCGAAATAATTCGGTAACGACTCGCCTTCTGGATGGTGCAACGACGGCCTCGTTGTTATCGTCTTCCTCCGTACCGCCGTAACGTTCAATTATACCGAAGTCGAATTATTTACCCGGACGAGGTTTATTCCTACCGCGGGATTCGCAGAATCATTCTCGTTCCGTAAAAAATCCGAAAATCGAATCTCCTTTGAATCCGTCAGAACGCGCGCACGCGATCGGGCCGGAAACTGTCGCACTTGTCGAGTTGACATGTAAATGCCTCTCGCGTTAACACGGGCGAGGCGGTTCGTTAAATATCAATTCTCATATTCCCCCGCGGCGATCGTCCGAAAATTGCGTAAAGTGACTGGAACGATTTTCCTTGCGAAATAACGCGATTGAATTTATTTAGAATTCCTGCGATCTTCGGCAGAAAATGTTCTCGAATAGAAGACATTTTTTATTACATTACGTGAAACATTCTTGTATTTACAGTAATTGTTAAATGATCGATTGACCGGTACTGGTAGGCTTAGCGTTAAGAAAGAATGTCTTTTGGGACATCCTGTATACCATAAGTGGTCTAACGACGAACAGTTACAATCGTAACAGTCGAAGCAACCTATCAGCACGACTGCGTCCAGAAGATCAGCTCGTACGAAGGACGGCCGAGGAATCGGTAACCTTGGACGCGAATGAAGAGCACGGTGTCCCGATGAGTTATCTCGTCGGCAGCATCCCGTTTCCCAGGAACAATCACGGTTTTACTGTACAATAAATTTCGGGCTCAGCGAGTGCCCGTAAATTCCGCGACGCTAGTTCGGGATTACCGGGCGTATTAAAGCGTATTTCATGTTTACTCCGAAACGGGACCAAACGCGAAGCAAAAGCAAAAAGGCGGCCGGCGCGGCGGCCGCGGGGCACTAAAAAAGGCAACCATTTCCACGGCACCGTATATTTCTGCCGGCCCCGGCGGCGGCTCCGATATTCCGCGGCCCGCGCGGTATTAGCAACAGTTTTACAGCGCGGCCCGATCGAAAGGCGTCGCAATTAAAAGTTGATTTACAACGGACACCGCGCGGCGTTCGGCCGCCCGTTCGCATCATCATTAACATTTGAGGCTTGCGGACGGCCGGGCGAGGCGACAGCGTGCGCGGGGTGCGAGAGCGAGGCGAGAGGCATGCAAATTTCGCGGTAATTGGCGAACACGCGTGATTCGCGCGCCGGTAATATCGCGATGAAAATCGCGGCGCGGGGAATCGATCAACGAGCGCTTTTACGGCGGTCCGCGCGCGGCTTATGCGCAATTTGTCATAGACAAGATCTCCGGAGCTTCTGCCGGAGATCCGCCGGCCCTGGGACCTTTATGATCTTATTAGCGGGATCCTGATCGCCGAGTTTGCCAGGTGCGCCGCTCGAGAACGGCGGGATCCGTCGTAGAACAAGCTGCAACGTGTTAATCGGTGCGAATCGGCCGCCGATCGGCACTGCCTGTCTCGTAAAACTATACTGTCTTCTGCGTACCCTTCGCCAAAGCGAAGCGGCCGATGCTAGTAGCTACATGGTTTTAACACTCGAACGGTGCAGCTTGGGTCGATTTTGACCGATCGTTTCGAAGACCAGCTCTTGGGGATTCTCGATCGATTGAACGTTGCGCAAGAAGAAAGTCGATGGATATAGATCATTTTAGATTCGATTCTGTTATTCGCAAAGGTACTGTATAAATGAATGCGGATTTTGGGCGCGGTAAAACAGAGCTGAGAAATATAGGGTGTCACAGATGTTTTAACCCTTTGCACTCGAATGTCCCCCCTCGGGGGATAGACCAAAACTGCTAACAGTTATTGTACTTCCAAAATTAACTATTTTTATTTCATGAAATATAATGTATAAATATAATATATATTATATATATATTTTTTTTAATAATATATAATAATATAAATAGTACAATCTTTTGTCGTGTTCTATTTGTTCAGACTAATTGTTTCCAACGTTTTGTCGTTTTATATTTTCTTTAAAATGTTACTTACTGCTTTGTCAATAAATACGTTCGCGTTTTTGTAGGTGTTCTGAGAGAATTCTCCGAGTGCAAAGGGCTAGTAAAAAAGAAAAGCAAATCGAAAATAAAGAATAACGCTTTTTCAGCCGAGGCTTCGTTGTCGCGAAAATCGACTTTGAATATTCATCATTTCCAACAACATTCGCAATAACAAAGTAAATCGGTAAATAATCCTTGCACTCCGGTTGCCGAGTCATTTGGACGCATTGTATTTCACACTAAATCTACCAAGTATTAAAAGCAACTACCAATAATTTTCCTTGTAAATCTGACATGATTGAGTTTATTTGGATTTTGTGCGATCTTTATTGGCTTGAACAGAGAAATTTATTACATCGTTTCTCGCGGTAACATCGTTGTAGCTTGAATAAGTATTGAGTTAAAAATTATGAAACGGGTCATTTGATTGGCACCGGTAGGCGTGACGTTAAATCGTTCGCTCAATTGCACAATTTTCGGCAAATTAAATAAAATAAACTGCTGTGTTATATCGGGGACACCAAATTACATTGGGGACACCAAAAAGGCTAACAAGAGCCTGCAAAAAGTATCTTGAAAAATATGTTTCGAAAAATTGCTGGCTGAAGCCCGGAATTGTTAATTACCGTCGTCGATAGTACAGTTGTGAAAACGGTCCGACGTCCGAGGATTAAGACACTTCGCAGCGTGTTCTTGGATTTAGACGTCAACGGGTCCCGGACAGAGATGCGTTCGTCGAGAATTAAATCGTAATTAGCGCAAGCGTTTCCCAAGACACTTCGGGCTCGTTCTTCTATGCGTCCTCCCGGACATCAGATTAGGGGAATCAGGAGAATTTTCCGGCGAGACCCTTTATCGGCGCGATCAAAGGGATCCCGATACCATGGTGACACGAGGCCCGGCCCGCTGTCATCTCTTTCCCAGTGACAGCTTCACTATCTTGTTCTGCTCGGGGGACGGTCAATCCCATTATCTAGCCGGTCGACCTGCTAGTCGGGCGTAAAGTGGGCAGTCCTGTCCAGGAAGCAATCTTCGATCTCTGCCTCGTTCGAGACTTTCTTGTGAAAACTGGCTGGAAACTTTGAACCCTGTTCCGTTCTATCCCATTCAATCGCTATTTCGAACGTATTCGAACGATGCCGATGCCGATCCTAGCTTGGAACGGATCGCACAGCCATAGATCG